CTATACTATACTATACTATACTATACTATACTATACTATACTCATACCATTTATAGAAATACACATTTCTATACTGCTACAGGATTTAATTAAAATCCATCCAGTGTCTCATGGGACATTTTGCTAACATAACAAATGATCACACACAAGCACAAAATATTACAGGCCTCAGTCATACACTTTCTTATTAAAATCCTTAGTTTAAGATCACAATGATGGTTTGTATTATATATATAAATATAAATATATAAATATATATATATGTATATGTATATATATATATATATATATATATAAAGACTTGTCAGATTTTTTTTCACTCTGATTCTTCCAGGTCTGCTGGCAGAGTCCACTGTCCAAGATGAAGAACCTGTGATGCGTCTGCAGCTCCAGCAGCCAGAGGGAGACCTCTTCCCCTGTGGATGTGACACAACAGATGCCAGCCAGAGCTCCTCCAACGACACCCCAGCCCCAGAGAGGTCCATGTGCCAGCCCTGCAAACCTCCGTCAGCCACTGAAGAGGAGCTGGCCGGCCTTTCAAAGCCTGAGGAGGAAGAAGGAACTTCACCAGGTGAAAACTCCTCTACTGAGGTGTTAGTCACTGAAGGAGAAGACCAGGAAGAGGTGACAGTGGAGGATGAAGAGGTGCGATCTGGGAGGAAAACTGAGGCTGGAGATGAGTCACTGGAACAGGAAGTATCGGAGGAGCTACGTAAAGAGGCGGAGGACACTTTAGCTGAAGCTGGGGAAGAGAAGCAGGAACCTGTGGAAGGTGCACCAGAGGAATTTCTTCATGCAGAAGAAGCTGAGTCTGCTTCTGATGAAGGATCTGATGAGGAGTCAGAAGATGGCAGCCCACAGGAGGAAACAGTGATGGCAACATACAAACAAACAACTGTGGAGACTGTCCCACAAGTAGCTACAGCTGCTGGGGAGGTGGGGGATGAAAAAACTGAACCAGAATTAGAGACGTCAGAGCCTGAATCTGAGCAGACACAACCAGAACTAACAGAGGAGCTGAACCCACCATCACAGGCAGAGCGAGAAGCTGCAGAAGCACCAGAAATCATTTCAGAACCACAAGCTGGTCTGCTGGAGAAAACTGAACCTTCTGGGGATGAAGTTATTGTAGAAGATAAAAAGATGAAAACCACAGAGGAAACTCCTAAAGCTAAGCCTGTAGAGGAGCCCACATCGCCTCAAGCCAAAGGTACAAATGAGCTTAATAAGAAAAGAATAACACTTAATTGGAGTAATTGCATTTTCAGCTAAAGAATGAATAAGTGAATAAATAACCATATTTTAGCATAAATGAAGGCTAAAATTTGCTGAAAAAGGCAAAAAAAATAAAATCTGAATACTGAAGAAGCAGAATACTGGCTAGAAATTAAAAGGAACAAAACACGATGTATCAGAGATGGACAGGAAGCTGAGTACAGAGAGCTGGTGGACCGCTTTGTGACATGGTGTGGGAACAATCATCTCATCTTGAATGTGAACAAAACAAAGGAGATGATTGTAGATTTCAGGAGAAATGGTGTTAGATCAAACCCTGTTTCCATCATGGGAGAAGAAGTGGAGGTGGTTGAGGAATATAAATACAGTGGTTTGCAAAAGTATTCATACCCCTTGAACTTTTCCATATTTTGTCACATTACAACCACAAACATAAATATATTTCACTGGAATTTAATG